ACTTAGTGATATCAGTAACACTTGTCAAGTTGTGCAACCACTACCCTTAACTGATGCGAATTTTCCCATCACTGTAAACATAAACCGACTACTTCCCAGAGAATGATTCCGTCTCTTCCTCCCCCGACTCCCCACCCTCAACTGGGGCCCTGGTGGAGCAGTGGTTAAGAGATACGGCTGCTAATCAAAAGTTCAGTAGTCCAAATCCACCAGTCGCTCCTTGGAAACCCTATGTGGCAGTTCTACTAAGGAGCCCTGGTGGTGCAATGGTTAAGAGCTATGGCTGCTAATCAAAAGTTCAGCAGTTCGAATCCACCAGTCGCTCCCTGAAAACCCTATGGGGCAGTTCTACTAAGGAGCCCTGGTGGTGTAGTGGTTACAGCAATCAACTGCTAACTGAAAGGTCCGCAGTTTGAAACCATCAGCGGCTCCTCAAGTGGAAAGAGAATGACTCCCTCTCTCCTTTCCCTCACTCCCCATCATAGCCGTTGGTCCCACTAATAGCCATTGGTCTCTATACATTTACTTATTCTTATCTTTTCATATAAATAAGGTCATACACTACTTGTCCTTTTGTGACTGACTTATTTCACTCAGCATAATGTCTTCAAGGGCCACCCATGTATCAGGACTTCATTTCTCTTTATGCTTGAGTAGTATTCCGTTGTATGCATGTACCAGTGTATGTATTCTGTTCATCCATTCATCTGTTGATAGGCACTTCAGTTGTTTCTACCTTTTTGCTATTGTGAATAGTGCTGTAATGAACATAGGCATGCATGTATCTGTTCACTTCACTACTGTTAGATCCCTAGGGTATAAACCTAAGGAGCCATGGTGGCTGAGTGGTTAAGCACTCAGCTGCTATCCAGAAGGTCGGCAGTTAGAACCCACTAGCCGCTCCACAGAAGAAGTGGCAGTTGGCTTCCATAAAGATTACAGCCCTAGAAACCCTATGAGGCAGTTCTACTCTGTCCTATAGGGTCACTGTAAGTCCAAATCGACTCAACAGCAACAGGTAGGGTAGATACCTAGGAGAGGCACTGCTGGGTCAGACAGTAGTTCTATTTTAAATTTTCTGAGGAATTGCCATACTGTTTTCCACAACAGTTGTACTTCCTTGTTTCTTTAACGGAGAAAAAAATATCACCTATCTTGCAGAACTGCTGGGAGAATTAGAGAAACTGTACATAAAATGCTGAACACAGTGACTGGCACATAGATGGCAAATATATAAATAGACAATAGTTACTGTTACATTGTTGCTGTTGTTGTTGGATACTGTTGAAATACACCTAAGCTACAAAATGTGAAACTCAAACTTCCAAGTCTTTATTTTCAAGGTTATTTTAAAAAATATTTTTCACATTGAAAAATTCCTGAGTCTAACTTCTTCGTTTATTCAACAAGTATTTATTTGATACTTACAACATAAGACACTGTTCTTAATGCCAAAGATATCTCAGAAAATAAATCAGAAGTATCATTCCTACTCTCAAGAAACTTACATCTTAGAGGAAGACAGACATTAAATAACCAATTACATAGTTATTTAATTATGACTGTAATCAGTGTTACAAAGAAAATCTACAGTATGCTATGAGAACTGCTAAAGGGGGAAATGACCTAACAGGATCAGAATTTAAATTTCTACACAAACATCCCACCTCCCTCCAAGGGTTTTCAATCACTCCCTCTATAATTAAATCTAATCCAAACCTTCGTATAGACTTGATCTGTCTGGTTTAAAAAAACAACAAAACAAGTAATTAACCTAACCCTGACCATTTTTATGTTCAGAATTGTACACTGAAATTGTAGGAACTGCGTAAAATCTGAAAATTAATGTTAAATACTCCATGTAGTGACTTAATGAAAGAGAAAGCAAAGATATATAGGTAAACAGTTGTCAGCTATCCACTAAGAACTCATGTTAGAAAACACATTTCTTGATAAATTATAAAAACAATATTTTTACTTCACGTGAATGCCATTATTTAAAATGACTCATTTTTCAAAAATTTTATTAAAATACATACTACATATTTATTACAGAAAATAAATTACTCCTGTGATTTTTAAGACAAGAACCAGTCCTAATTTGCTTACTAAAAGAAAATTCTTTGTTCAGGTACCTTTTAAAATCTGCCACCTTAATAGTTTAAAAAAAAATCTGGCGGCAACCATTTTAAAGATAACTTTAAGATTCTATATTCAGAAGTTACTACCCTGTTGCAGAATTGTACCATTAAAGTCCCAAATAAACATAAAGGGGAAAACTGAGTGATCAGATCAACTCTCCCACTAAAAAACAAGTTTCTTTTATAAAACAGAACCTAATCCATTGCTTTCGAGTCGATTCCGACTCATAGCTGCCTATAAGAGAGTAGAACTGCCCCACAGGCTTCCAAGGCTGTAATCTTTACTGAAGCAGACTGCCACATCTTTCTCCCACCGAGTGGCTGGTGGGTTCAAACTGCTGACCTTTTGGTTAGCAGCCCAGTGCTTAAACACTGTGCCACCAGGGCTCCTAAAAAGAACCTACTTCAAGGTTTTTCTTATATCAAACATTCACCTAGAAACTAATGCAACAATTAACCCAAAGCAATCATAGACAATTCTCCAAAGGTGGTCTCTTCACCTATATTTAGTTCAAAAGCCAAGCCAGTCCCGAATTTCTGGTGCCAATTATAATGAATGGAAGAAATTTATTTAAATCAAATAGCACCATCTAGCAGAACCTTCATCACTTTGCTCACAAGAGTAGATGTTACTTGGTGCTCGGTTTGGTAGATCTGACAGCAAAAGTGGCAATTATTTGTTTTAATGACAAAGTCACAGAACTAGAGCTACAGACACACCAAGTCTAACTTCCTCTATTATCTCAGATACAAAAAAAAAAACTTACAAAGTCATCAGGATACACATTCAGCCACAGTTCACTGATTCCTGGGAGTCCATCAAAAATCCAAAACTACCTTGATTTTCAAAGTCAACCACCCCGAAGTTACATAATACCTCAATACATTTCAACCCTCCGTTCCAATAATATGAAACCCAAATGTTCTGTAAACATTAAAACATCCTCCTTCAGATGTTTTTATTTTATCAAATATCACAACCAAATGATTAACAAATTAAGTTATTAGAAAACTTCAATTCCAGTTACTGCTGTTTGTTAACCAAGCTATAATTCTACGCCTTTTAGATATTTCTTGTCACAGCAACAAAATCTTGAATGTAGCTCCTCAGAAAAATCTCTCTGAACAAAACAGCATCTCTCCGATAATTTTTTTGTTTTGCTACATCAAGGCCTGCCACCTCAAAATCCTGTGGGAACTGTGTGTATTGCTGCCAACACGAAGATTAGGAAATGTTCCCATCCCTAGGGCACAGGAAACTTTCAGGGGGAGACTAACTGCCTAAAGCAAGGAGGGAAACTCGGTCGTCTGCTCGTTCGGTTTTTACTTACACAGCTATTTCTGTGCGCAAGATAACCAAAGTACCTTTTGAGAGATGCTCCCAGACCTCTCCCCAGTCTGACACCCCTTCGAAATGCAGCGTGCTTTAAACGACCAAGAGAAACCTGACCCTCAGAGTTAAGATAGTTACTGGGAATCACTGCTTCATTTGCTGCACAGAAAAGAGGAGTTCTTCCTCAGTGGTCACAGTCACTATTTGCTCTCATTTTTAGTAACAACCAAATCACCGTTACAAATACATAAGAATAGCAGCAAACAACTCTGCTTAGCAGTGTGCCATAACGGTGGCATCCCAGGGCGGGAGGAACTCTTTGCTCGCCAGCCTTCTCAAGAGCTTCCACCGAAGTGAACACCTGTATCTCCCCACAACCTTGACCTAACAACTCCTCCCAACCTCAGAGTCTCTTCCTTTCCCACAAACCCCTTTTCGGACTACCGCCCCCTCCCCACCGTAAAGAGCCGCCACCACCGCGCACACAACTTCCCTTCCACGCGCCCCACGACCACCGCCCCGTGGGGACTGCCCCGCCCGCCGCTGCATCCCGCCAGGGCCACCAAGGCCCCCCGACGCTTGGGACGCAGCACGTCGCCACAAAAAGTTCTCCAGCCGCCCCCGCGAAGTTAGGTCGGCTGCAAGAGGCAGGAATGTCAGTCTCCTCCAGCAGAACCCGCTCCTCGCCAGCACACTTTTCCTCCCCGGAAACTCGGTCCTTCTCTGACTCTCAAACTTCAGCGGCTCCCCGGCGCCCACCCGCCCCCGCCCCAGCTCCCCGAGGCACCCGGGCTGCGAGCGCCGCGTCCCCCGGCTCGGCCCGGGAAAGCCCCG